GCGTTTTCGATACCGCGTATCTTCGATCTTTGTCTTTTTCGATTCGTCACCTTCGAACGTATCATCATCCCATTCTTCCGGTTCCGACGTTTTTCTTTTCTGAACGCGCGGCACGGTGGTGGTTGTGGTGGTGGCGGCGGCGGTTGGGGCGGCTGCGGTGGCTGAAGTCGACGCATTGTACATTTTCTTTCTCTCTCTCTCTTTTTTCGGCTAATATAACATTAATGACCGAACAAATAAAACACAGTCGGTAAGAAAACAACATTACAACATGTCGTGGCGTTTGACTGCCGAAGATCTAATGCGTTCTTCGTCTTGGCATTCGGGAGCAAATTTTGCTACCGTCTCGAATGCCAAGAGGAAAATCGATCAAACTGCCGCCGCCACCACCACCACCACCGCGCAAGCCGTGGAGAACAAGACGACGAAAAGAAAAAAGAAGACGAAAAAAAAAACGAAATACTAAGAGGGAAGAGCGTTTAATATCAACATGTGATATCGACAAATCTTCTCGGCCATCATGCCCTGTATCAGACTCGAGCAATACGTCAGACGCTCGGTTCGAACTTGAAACACGGTCCACATCAATCGATCGCCCGGCAGAGGTCTTAATCGAACGAACCTCGGCGTAAGTACCTCCATGTTCTCGCTTCGTACGCCGTACAAAGTTCTCTTCAGTAGGTACACCGCGGTTTCGTGGGCGTTATCCAGTAGAAAATCCTTTTTGGTCTGAGGCAAGTTGGAATAGGAAACGAGCACCAGGGCTAGTTCGTACACGAAATCCCGGACGTCCTCGAGCGTCGACGCCGAATCCACTCCCACGTCCGACAGTCTGTCCGCCGACACGCTGCTCAGTAAAGTCTCCCTGAATACCGACACCAGTCCGACGGCCGGTTCGTTCTCCATCCTGTTCAGCACGATTTCGAACGCTCTCTTGCGAAAGAATTCGGAGTTGTATCTTCGGCGTCTGTCCGGGTCGTAAAGACGTTCGAGAACCGTGCCGATGCAGGTCCTGAACCGTATCATGGCACCG